GAAACACAATCAGATTCCCTGCAATACCAAACACCAGTAGTTTTCACTTCAATCATGAAACTCTAAATTATTTTTACGTACGTAATTCACATAAAATGATCATCACGGGATGGCTGATGAGAGTGCAACAAGTTACGTTTCGACGTTTTCACATGCAGATCATTGGTATCTGAAAATTCAATTGTTAAACGCACAGCCATAGAAATATTGTGGGTTAAGTTGCACAAATGATTTAATTTTTCATCAAATAACCACAGAATACCGTTTACATCATTTGTTTGAACGAGTGTTACGTTGCACTTGTAGGAGAGTTTTTGAAAGCTGTAATGCACAAAATTTTGTCCTCGTTAGTGACGTTGATGCTTATCGCACTTGGACGGGTTACGAAACATTTGCAAATAAAATGGCCACCAGGGTGGAATGGGATGAAATGTGCAAAATATTTTTGGAAATCAATACGTAGTATTTGAGTTTATTTCCCAATCCAGAGGGCTTCTTATGCTTTTTGACAGCGTATTGCTGAAGCATTCGTTAAGAAACTTGGAAATGCACTAGCTACCGTTTATCTCAAAAGAGTTAAGTTTCTATTTTATTCACTAACACCTACTGCAATCTCCAGTCCCACCAGGCATTTTACACAAGTTGGGCTTAGTTGAGTAAATCGAAGCCGACTCGGGGCATGCACTCCAACATGGTGCTGAGGTCATCATAGAACAATATTATTCCGGTGAGCCACCACTGCAACTCGCAAACGGACAACCCAACAGAAACCTAAACTATACACAAACTATATCTACGTAACAAATACGGTCAACGATTCTTCCTTATAACGATGCCCTAAAAAGAGTCCGCCATTGGTGTTGAAGATAATCTCAATTTAATTGAAAAAAGGGTTTTACTAGTTTATTTACAACTCGGACATAAAATTCAAGCAGTCACGCTACCCTTGCTGACACTGCTACTTAAGTAATGGTAAGCTCATGACTTCCGGGAACACTATCATGGCGGATGTGTAATCGACGTCTACAAACCGTTTGTTGAATGAACGCTTCCGCAGCCGAATTTAAATAACAGAAATTTTTCCTTAGGACGCTCTCCTTTGGACTGCTGAATCCAAAGACTCGTTTGAAGCCGATATCTCAAACAGATTATCACCGAAGTTAAGTAACTAGGCAAATAGACTGGAATACATACATATTCTTATTTGTACTCCTTTGCGTGTGTCTACCATAGCAACTACACATGCTGGAGCTTTTCTACAGATTCTTTACTCGGCCAACATTTTCAAGACTTGGATACTTAACAACCCATTGCATTTTCATCAAGCATTAATCAGCCAGAAGCAATGATGTTTTTCAGCCATTTGGGGGGCAGATATATTGATCTTTTCTGCAACAATGTTGAACCAAATGGCATGATCAGAGGCAGTTGGTATCACTTATTCTGGATAGGATTTGCACAATGCAGCTTCCTGATCACGGTGCTCACGACAGCAGAATTGTTTTTTTTTGCGTCCAAAAGTACACCAGAATTGTGACGACGCTCGGTAGTTTTCGCAAAGTCTTGGTAAACCAAGGATCAAAATAATTTGGTTGTTTCAAAAAATGTGTCGAATTATTTGTGGATCAAGCCGTGTCTCAATGTTTATCCTGGCGCAGATTTCCGCAGATTTTAGCCAAACAACCAGTTAGCTAAACACGAGGGTACCATTAAAAAAAACGCTGTAAAACTCTGAAATTTGGGATGAACAGCAGGAAACTCTGCGCAAATTGTTCAATCATACTAATTGTCACAAAAAGTGGTATGTTGGCTCTCAAATGATATATTTTTGGCCCAAATGCTGTTCAAGCTCATGTACAAAACACTACTGTTGATTTCAATTAAGACCGAAATTCAGAAAAATAAATGACCCCTCTTTGCGCCCAGTTTCTTCCAGCATTGCGATTACCTTTGAAATTCTGATATGACTGACTTTTAATCCCAAATGTCAAGGCGAAATACCTCTGATTGCAACTAAACACCAAAGGAACAGCATTTGTACCGCGTTCCTGGAGAGATTCAGCGCGCCTAGCCAACTAGGCGTATTGTAGTATACGGTGTCTGTCAGTTTGATTTTAATCCCACAAGGCGAAATACCTCTGATTGCAACTAAACACCAAAGGAACAGCATTTGTACCGCGTTCCTGGAGAGATTCAGCGCGCCGCGCCTACTAGGCGTATTGTAGTATACGGTGTCTGTCAGTTTGATTGATTCATATGTAAGTATTGGTGATGTACAACCTTGCTTACTGAGCTTTGGCTCA